TGGGTGTGAGGAAAGCCGAAGTGCCGTGGTAAGAGTGACCCCAGCGCGTCTCTAATTGATGACGGGTGTCTTATCCTTGTACTGACTGAGCATCGCATATCGCTGAATTGTAGGGCATACTGCATCATATCATGTGGTTATGTGCTTCATACTTGCACGTTGTAGCAGTCCGTTGCACGTCATAGTGTTGCATGGCCTGCCACATCGTTTACTTATGTAGAACATCATGAGGTGTGATGACATCGCATTGGGTACCACTCAATGTCATATCGTACTAACACTTACCAACACATGGTGCATCATTGCGTACCAATGCATACAACATGGACTGATGTCATTGCGTGGCGTATCGTAACACGGTGTGGTATGGCAATGCGCTGCATAGCATGGCGCGACGATGCATTTCATATCATTGTACATTCCATCGATTGCTTACCCACGCAAGCCAATCGCAGGCGAGGCAAGGCAAGGCAATCCACACCCAGCAAGCCCAGGAAACATACCACACAACACATTGAAGCACACATAGGCAAGGCAAAACAATCTCGGGGAGCCACCAGAAAAACAATAACAACTTGTGTAATTGCCGCGGACTCCGCTGGATGGACCGAAGTGGTAACCAGGATCTTCTTCGGCGACGCATGCTTGGGGGAACACTGGTTTTCGCAACGTGGTGACGTCCTCGACTCCCCCACCCATCCGAACAAGGATCGTTAGCTCCCTCTTCCGCTTTCGGCGCTTCTCCTTCGCCTCTTTTTTCCACTCCCCCCATCGTGCTCGTCGTCGTATTCCTTCTCCCTCTTGTTCCTCCTCCTTCTTCCTCCTCTTCTTCCTCCTCCTCGCGTACCCGTGCCAGACAAGCCAAAGGTGGGGGAGCTGTGTTCCTCGCTCTCCTTGGGGGTCTTATCGGCTTCGGCACCCCTTGCGAGAGATCGTCGATACGATGGGCTCTCGCTGGGGGAGGGGACTATCCAGACATCCGACGTCGTGACTTTTTCAAACTTGGCTCCACAGATGAATCCCTTCTCGGGGACAGGCTTCTCATTCAGAGTCTTTTTTCACGGTCCTGGGGCTCGGGAAGAGTCCCCAGGGGCCCAAATTTGCTTCAAGCTTGCCGTCGTCGTGACTTCTTCACGACCTGACAATGTCGGCAAATGAGCACCCCCCTATGCGTGGCCGGCTGGCGAACGCGCTGCGGAGAGCTCACCCAGGGGGCACAGCCAATGCCGCGAGCAGGGAAGCGCCCTCCCAGCAGAGGCCTCGCGTGGCAACGTCTCGCGCTGTCGATGCGGGGTCTTCTCGAGGCGCGTGTGTGTGAGTGTGTGTGTGTGTGTGTGTGTGCTTGACGGCTTGCCCCCCGCCTCTGTGCTCGAGGTTCTCTTGCCGCTGGCGCGGGCCGGGGTGGACAGTGCTCACGTGCTCTTGCCTCTCCCCTTCGCTCCCGCGCGCCTGCGGGCGAGGGAGGGTCGCGCCACAGCTTGCTGCAATGCTCAGGCCTGTCCGACGAGGCGGACTTCCTGCTCCGCGCGTGCTTCGCCGCCTGCGGCCCCTCTCCCCCCGCGCCCGCGCCCTCCCTCGTCCTGCCGTGCCCCATTTGGCCCCGCAGTGTCCCTCGACCGCCTCCGACCGCGGCGCGGACCCACGCCGCTGCGAACGCAGGCGCACCTGACGAGGCGGCGTGCCCGCCGGGCACTTCCACCCACATCGAGCCCGCAGGACAGGCTGCCGAGCGAACAGGATCGGGCGACGAAATCTATGCGTGCCCGCTGCTCCCTGCCCAGGCCCATCCTCAACCAGGGAGCCGTGCACCCGCCCGGCGTGGCGTATGCGCCGCTGCTGGGCTCAGCATGGGCCTGGCCAGGGAGCAGTGGATCTGTGTGGATCCCGCCGCCCTACACCAGGTGCTCGAGGTCGTCAAAGCATCGTTGTGTGGTGCACTGGGCCGGCATTCGTCCTCCGCTCTCGGCGCGCCGCCCGATGCCAGGTACCGCCTCGGCAAGCTCGGTGCCAGCCATCCGTCGACGCAGGCGGGCCGTGCGCCGGCGGGCCGGCCCCGCCCGCGGCGGGGGGGGGGCTTCGGTTTCGAGCTGGGGGAACCTCTTCTCTCTCCCCCCCCTCCCGCCCTCCTCCCCTCTCTCCCTCCTCCCTCCCTCCCTCCCTCCCTCCCTCCCTCCTCCCCCTCCCCCCTCCTCCCTCCCCCCCCCCCTCGCGCCTCTTCGTTTTCTGCTCGTCCCTCCTCCTCCTCCCTCCTCCACCCTCTTTGGTCACTCCTCGCTCGGGGCCCAGGGGAGATGCTGACTGCAAACCAGGCACCAGGACTGATTGCAAACCAGGCACCAGGACTGACCATGCCTATCTCTGGGCGTTGGCCTCTTCCGCTAGGCGTTTTTGGGAGGGCAGGAGGAGGTGGATGGCGACGAGGAGGAGGAGGAGGAGGAGGAGGAGAGGGGAGGAGGAGGAGGAGGAAGGAGGAGGAGGGAGGAGGAGTGAGGAGAGGAGGAGGAGGAGAAGGAGGAGGAGGGAGGCGAGGAGGAGGAGGAGGAGGAGGAGGAGGAGGAGGAGGAGGGAGGAGGAGGAGGAGGAGGAGGAGGAGGAAGGAGGAGGGAATGTGGAGGAATGAGGAGGAATGAGGAGGAATGAGGAGGAATTAGGAGGGGATGAATAAGGAGGAGAGGAATGCAGGAGGAATGATGAGGAGAGGAGGAGGAGGAGAAGGAGAAAAGGAGGAGGGGAGAAGGAGCGGAGAGGAGGAGCAGGAGGAGGAGGGGGGAGGAGGAGGAGGAGGAGGAGGAAGGAGGGAGGCTGGTGCTGCTGCTGCTGAGGAGGAGGAGGAGGAGGAGGAGGAGGAGGAGGAGGAGGGAGGAGCCGGAGGCGAGGCGGATGGCGATGGCGGAGGCGGAGGCGGAGGCGTCGGCCGCGGGGGAGGAGGAGGCGTTGGAGGAGGAGGAGGAGGAGGAGGAGGAGGAGGAGGAGGGGGAGCAGGAGGAGGAGGCGGAGGAGGAGGACGAGGACGAGGAGGACGAAGATGAAGATGAAGATGAAGATGAAGATGATGATGATGCTGATGATGATGATGATGATGCTGATGATGATGATGATGATGATGATGATGATGATGATGCTGATGATGATGATGATGATGATGAGATGATGATGCATGATGATGATGATGATGATGATGATGATGATGATGATGATGATGATGATGATGATGATTGATGATGATGATGATGATGATGATGATGATGATGATGATGTGCTGCTGCTGCTGCTGATGCTGCTGCTGCTGCTGCTGCTGCTGATGATGATGATGATGTGATGATGAGATGATGATGATGATGATGATGAGGAGCGAGGAGGAGGAGGAGGAGGAGGAGGAGGAGGAGGAGTAGGAGGAGGAAGGAGGAGGAGGAGGAGAGGGAAATGAGGGAGGAGGTGGAGGAGTAAATTGATGATGAGGAGGAGGAGGAGGAGGAGGAGGAGGAGGAGGAGGAGGAGGAGGAGGAGCCATCCCTCAGCGCAAAACTTCAGGCAGCTCTTTGCTCCGACCCGGTGGTCCGCTCCGTGCTGGAAGCGCTGATACGCCGCCTGCGGGGCGCCCCGCCGCTGTCCTTGTCGCCGTTGCCGTCGTGGTCGTAGTCGTGGTCGTGGTTGTGGTCGTGGTCGTGGTCGTGATCGTCGTCGTCGTCGTCGTCGTCGTCATCGTCGTCGTCGTCGTCGTCGCCGACGACCCCCTCTTGCTACTCCTTCCTCCTGCTCTTCCTGCTGCCCTCGCTCCTCCTGATTCTGCTTCTGCTGCTCCTGCTGCTCCTGCTCCTCCCTCCCTGCTCCCCTTTCCCTGCTCCTCCCCTCCCTCCTTTCCCTCTGTCCCGCCCTCCCCCCCCTCATTCTCTCCCTTCCTCCTCCCTGCTCTCTCCTCCCTCACTCGCCCCTCCTCCAGCTCCTCCTCCTTCTACTTCCCCCTCCTCCCTCCTGCCTCACCCCGTCCCACTCCTCCGCCTCCCCTACTCCTCCTTGTTCCCTCTCTCACCCTCCGGACGCATCCGCTTCGGGCAGAGGTGCCAGAGGTCTCCCGAGGATCTTGATGATCATTCTCAGCACGATCAGCGAGTAGACTGATCGTTTCATCGTCATCACGATCAGTAGCTGGTGGAGCCGGTGGCAGCAGCATCTTGGCCGAGATGCTGGAGATGACGAGGCAAACAGCCACTGTCGTAACCCAGTCCTCCGAGTGTTAACGCGCCGCATCGCGAAACCGCCAACGCGCTTGGCGGGGCGCCCGGGAGCCTGGGGACACCCAGGCAGCCACCTCCGCCGCGGGAGGAGCAGAAAGGTCCCCCCGAGGGCGTGCGGCGAGCCCCAGCAGGACGTGCAGGTGCGCAGGCACAGGTCGACAAGCACGCATGCGGGTGCGCCGAAGTCCCCCGCGATGTGCGGGCGAGCGCTGCGCAACCGCCGTCGTGGCCGGGGGTTCTCCGCCGGAGCCCAGGTGCTCGAGGTTTGCCAGCGCGGCTGTGCGGTGGTCTCCGTGCTTTGTGCGGAGCTCACCCAGGCGTTTAGGAAGGGGCCCGATATCCAGGACTCCGATTGGCGCGCCCAGGCAGGCGAGGAGGAGGAGGAGGAGGAGGAGGAGGAGGAGGAGGAGGAGGAGGAGGAGGAAGCGCCCGTCTCGGAGGCGGACCCCCGCCGTCAGAATGCTGCTGGCCCCCCGCCTTCCGTTGTGGCGTACATCGTCGGCGGCGTGTCGGGCGTTACTTTGGCCCTCGCGCAATCCGAGGCGGTCGGAGGGGTCAGGAGCTCTCCAGAAACGCGCTTCAGAAGCCTTCCAGAAGCCCTCCAGAAGCTCATGTGTAGCGCTTCTGAGGCGCTTGTGGAGCGCTTCAGATGCGCTTGTGAACCGCTTCAGAGTCGCTTGTGAAGCGCTTCAGAGGCGCTTGTGAAGCGCTTCGGAGGCTCTGCACAGGCTCTGCAGAGGTTGTAATCCGGTGTTCGTCTTGTAGAAGAAATGTAGGATTCCTTCACGTTGGGATCGGCCCCTGTTCGGTGGTTGGAATCCGCCCCAAGTGGTTGGGATCGGCCTTATTCCCCCTCTTGGGGGCCTCTTGGGGGCCTCTTGGAGCCTCCTGGGCGCCTCTTGGGGCCTCTTGGGGGCCTCCTGGGGCGGAAGGCTCGGATTTCGGTTCGTGCTCCCGCTCTTGGGCCCCTGATGGGTCCGTTTTGGGCGCCTTTTGGGATGTTTTGGGCGCCTCCTGTGCTGCCTTGGGGCCCTCTTGGGCCGTTTTTGGGCCTTCCTGGATGCCTCTTGGGCAGTTTTGGGGCGGTCTTGGGGGCCTCTAGGGCCGTCTGGGAGCGTCGGGAATCGTGAAAGAAGAGAACGCCGAAATTCTTCAACCACCAAGGAACATCAATGATTTTGGCCTCTTAGAGGCGTCCTTGGGCGTCTTGGAGGCGCTCTTGCGCCGTCTGGGGGCCATCTTGAGCGTCTTGGAGTGATCGTTCGGCGACTAGGGGCCTTCTTGGACCGTCTTGGGGGCTTCTTGGGGCCCTCTTGGCCCGTCTTGGTGCTTTCTTGGGCCAGAAAAGTCACGCGAAAAGACGCTGGGAACGCCAGGGGAACCGCGACAAGCCCCAGGAGATTTCGGAATTTGGGGTTTGGGCCGCTTAAAGACTCCGCAGGAGTGAGGAGTGAGGCTTAGATGATTGGGCCAAGGGCCTGGGCCACGCCCAATCTGGGCCCAGCGGCACGGTGGCGGATATCGGTACATGTATGTATGTATCTATGGTTACATATATATATATGTATACACATCTATAGCTCTCTGTCTCTCTCTCTCTCTATCTGTCTCTTCCCTCTTTCTTATGTTTCCTTTCGGCCTGCCGCTCCCCCCCAGCTGACCATCTTTATCTACCCTCTGCTTGGCCAAACCCACCTCTTTCCCGTTTCCACTCTCACCCCTTCTTCTCTTCCTCCCCTCTCTTCCCCGCCCCCGCTGCGGCGAGGTACTTCGCCGAATCCGACCCTGCCTCAGGCGATCAGCAACGTGGCGTGGTCGTTGGCTTCGTTGCGGCACATGGACTGCCGTCACGTGAGGTCGTGATGTCGTGGTGTGGTGTCGCGGTGCCGCCGTGTCGCGGTGCCGCTATGTCGTAGTGTCTTGCTGTCGTGGTGTCACCGTGCTGTGGTTTCGTGGTCTGGCGGAATCGGGGCGGGCTTCGGAATATCGTGGCGTGGAGGGAGGGAGGGGAGAGAGGCGAAACGAAGAGAAGGACGAGCAGGAGGGAGGGAGGAACGGAGGAAGGGGGGGGGGAGGAGGAGGAGGAGGAGGAGGATGAGGAGGATGAGGAGGAGGTGGAGGCGGAGGCGGAGGCGGAGGCGGAGTCGGAGGAGGGAGGAGGAGGAGCGAGGAAGGATGAGGAGGAACGGGAGGAGGAGGATGAGGAGGATGAGGATGAGGAGGAGGAGAAGGACGAGGTGGAGGAGGAGGAGGAGGATGATGATGATGAGGAGGAGGAGGCGGATGATGATGATGATGATGATGATGATGATGATGATGATGATGATGATGATGATGATGATGATGATGAGGATGAGGATGATGATGATGATGAGGATGAGGATGAGGATGAGGATGATGATGAGGATGGTGACGATGATGATGATGACGATGATGATGATGCTGATGACGATGCTGATGAGGATGAGGATGGTAGTTGTGATGATGACGATGACGATGATGATGATGATGATGATGATGATGATGATGATGATGATGATGATGATGATGATGCTGATGCTGATGCTGATGATGATGTTGGTGATGCTGATGATGATGCTGGTGGTGGCGATGATGATGATGCTGATGATGATGGTTTTGATGATGCTCATAATGATGATGACGATGCTGAGGATGATGATGTTGCTGCTGCTGAATATAATGCTGACGGTGCGGATGATGCGGACGCTGCTGCTGCTGATGATGTTGATGATGATGCTGATGTTGATGATGCTGATGATGCTGATGATGATGATGCAGCTGCTGCAGGCGATGATGATGATGCTGATGATGACGACGATGATGATGATGCTGATGATGATGACGATGATGATGATGCTGATCATACTGATGATGATGATGATGATGATGATGATGATGATGATGATGATGATGCTGATGCTAATGATGATGATGATAATGATGCTGATGCTATGGTTCTGATGATGCTCAGGCTGGTGCTTCTGACGATGGTGATGCTGATACTGATGACGATGATGCTGCTGATGATGATGCTACTGATGCCGCTGATGATGAAGATGATGCTGATGCTGACGACGGTGACGATTATGATGATGATTATGATGATTATGACGATTATGATGACTATGATGATGCTGATGATGATGCTGCTGATGATGATGGCGATGATGATGATGCTGATGATGCTGATGCTGCTGCTGATGCTGACGATGCTGACGATGCTGATGATGCTGATGATGCTGCTGATGCTGCTGATGTTGATGCTGCTGCGGATGATGCTGCTGTTGCTGATCAGGATGATTATGACAACTACGATGACGACGATGATGATGGTGATGATGATTGTGAGGATGATTATGATGCTGCTGATGATGATGACGAGGATGACGATGCTGATGATGTTGCTGCTGATGATGCTTATGATGAAGATGATGATTAGGATGCTGATCATGATGCTGCTGACGATGTTGATGATGCTGCTGGTGATGATGATTGTGCTGATGATGAGGCGGATGATGATGCTGATGATGATGGTGATGCGGATGATGGTGTTTATGATGATGCATCTGACGCTGATGATGCTGATGATGATGCTGTTGATGATGATGCTGATGCTGATGACGATGATGATGATAAGGATGACGATAGTGATGATGCTGATGATGATGCTGATGATGAGAATTGTGATGATGACGATGAGGTTGGTGATGATGATGGTGGTGATGATGATGATGATCATGATGCTGATGCTGCTGATGATGCTGCTGATGCTGATGATGATAATGTTGATGATGATGCTGATGATGATGACGCTGATGCTGAGACTGATGCTGATGATGATGAGGCTGATGATGATGGTGATGATGATGAGGATGATCATGTTGCTGATTCTGATGCTGCAGATGACGAGGATGATGATGATGATGCTGATGATGATGATGATGATGATGACGATGATGATGATGATGATGATGATGCTGGCGACGATGATGATGATGATGATGATGATGATGATGATGATGATGATGATGATGATGATGATGATGATGATGATGATGATGATGTTGATGTTGATGATGCTGATGCTGTTGATGATGATGATGATGATGCTGCTGATGATGATGATGCTGATGATGATGATGATGATGATGATGATGATGATGATGATGATGATGATGCTGGTGATGATGTTGATGCTGCCGCTGCTGCTGATGAGGATGATGATGATGCTGACGACGATCATGACGATGACGAGGACTATGAGGAACATGATTATTATGAGGAATAAGATGAGGAGGCGGAGGAGGAGGAGGAGGAGGAGGAGGAGGAGGAGGAGCAGGAGGATCCCTCCTGGGAAGGACGCGCCCCTCCTGGAGCTGTTGGCCTCGCAGGCCACCTCCAACATGCCGAGCTTCAAGTACTACGAGCTGTCGTCCCTCCTCTGGGCGTTCGCCAAGCTGGGCGCAGGCAGTCTCGAGGAGGGAGGAGGGAGCCCCCTCCTCCAGCGTCCTTTGTGCTTCGCCCCTCGTTCTTCAGCTCCATGCCCTCCCTTCACCGTCGCCGCAGGCGTCGTCGACTCCGTCGCCGCCGCCTTTGCCGTCGCCGTCGTCGTCGTTGTCGTCGTCGTCGTCCGTATCCTCCGGCTCTTCGTCGTCGTCATGATCCTCATTGCTTCTCTCTGTCTCTCTCTCTGTCTCTGCCTCGCTCTCCCTCTCTCTCTCTCTCGCATTCTCTCTCTTTTACCCTCTCTTTCTAGATATCTTAGTCTCTCTTCGTCTCTCTTCGTCTCTCTTTCTTTCTCTTCCTCCCCCCCCGTATCCTCATCCTCATCATCACCATCATTACCATCACCACCACTATCACCATCATCATCATTATCAGCATCATCTTCATTACCATTTCCATAACCAGTACCATCACCATCGCCGTCACCATCACCAGAACCATCATCATGATCATCATCATCATCACCATCATCATCATTATCATCATCATCTTCTTCATCATCATGAACACCATCATCATCACCATCACCATCAATTTCACCATTACCATCACCATCACCATCATCACCATCACCATCACCATCACCATCACCATCACCATCACCATCATCATCATCATCATCATCATCATCATCATCATCATCATCATCATCATCATCATCATCATCATCATCATCATCTGCAGCATCAGCATCAGCAGCATGATCATCATCATCACCAGCATTAGCAGCATCATTATCCATTCCGTCCTTTCCATCCTTGTCATCAGCATCTTGGTCATCATCATCGTTGTAATCATCCTCATCCTCATCCTCATCCTCATCCTCATCCCCCTCCTCCTCCTCATCATCTACTTATCTTCAGCACCAATCTGATCAATAACATCGTCGTCATCACCATCAGCATCGTCATCAGCGTTATCATTGTCGTCGTCATCATCATCATCGTCGTCGTCGTCGTGATTGTCGTCATTATCATCATCGTCATCGTCATCATCGTCATCATCGTCATCATCATCGTCATCAGCATCATCATCATGATCATCATCACCACCATCATCATCACCATCACCATCATCATCATCATCATCATCATCATCATCATCATCATCATCATCATCATCATCATCATCATCATCATCATCATCATCATCATCATCATCATCATCATCATCATCATCATCATCATCATCATCATCATCATCATCATCATCATCATCATCATCATCATTGTCATCATCATTGTCACCTCCATCATCGTCATCATTGTCACCATCATTCTCATAATCCTCCTCCTCCTCCTGCTCCTCCTCCTCATCATCATCGTCGTCGTCGTTGCCGTCGTCGAAGGCGCCTAAAGGCCGCATGTCCCTCAAAAGGCCCTCCCGAGAACGGGCGAGGGGCCTCTGGGAAGTGCCTCTGGGCTTCGCCCTCCCGCGACGAGATCGGCCGAAGAGGTGTCCCCGTGAGCCTCTCAACTTCGAAGGCCGCCCCTCCTCGCCCAAGCAAGAATCAGAACCGAGCCTCGAAGTGGTCTTTTCCTGATTCATTGTTTTGCCGATCGGCGCGGGCCCTCGCACCTCCCACCTCTCCCCCCCCCCCCGTAGAGTGGATCTTGGCTGTTTTGGGCGCCTGTTTCGAGCAGGTGGAGTCCCCCTCATAGTACGCACTGCTGCAAACAGTCGCACTGAGCAGAGGTCCAGAGCCAGACCTCCCCCCTTCCCCCCCCCGTTGAGCCCGATGCCGAAACGCCGAATAGGAAAACGTGCACAACCAAACATCAACCTCGAAAGCCGCCCTCCTCGTGAGCTTCTTCGATAAGCCAAGACATCACAACAGGCCTCTGCTCAAGCCGAGCCCCAGCACGGCAGGCCTGGAGGCACGCCGTCGAGCGCAGCGGGCAGCAAGGCAGGGTCGTTGTACCCCCCCCATGTGGTCAGGAACGTCTGTCGGCGGCGCGCCCGGGGGGGGAGAGAGAGGGAGCGGGCCTCCCAGAAGGCGGTGGGGCTTCCCAGAAGCCCTCGCGCCTGCTGAGGAGTTTTCCGTGTCGTCGGGGAAGGCTTAAGAAAGCTTCTCAGAAGGCCCGAGGCCTTCCGCGCCTTCAGAGAAGGCCCGCCCCATCTGCATTCCCCCCTGGGCTCGCCGCCGAGTGTGCTCAGCGCGTTGCGCCGCGGGTCCTGGCCCACCACGCGTCACCACGTCCCAGTTCCCAAGCGTCACCGTCTCGAGCTCTTCCCAGCCTGCCGCAACGCGGAGCGGAGCGTCACGCTGTTTGCTTGCGGGGCACAGCGTGTCGCCGGGGCCGTTGCCGCGGCACGCGAACGACAAGTTCCGGACCGCAGCCCTCCTCCTAACACGCACACGTATTACAAGCACACACTGCCACCTCCCATGGTGCTAAAGGCGGGCTCGAGGCTGAGCCGGTGCGAGGAGATCCTGGACCAGCAGGCAGCGCCAGCGGGTGAGGCGGGGCTCGCCTCTGCCCCCGAGAGACCTCCGCGGGAGTCTCCAGGGGCAGGGCGCTGGGTGCCCTGGCGGCGAGTGCTCCGACGGGCCGGGCAGGCCACGGCCCAGCAGAGTTTCTGGCGCGTCTTCTCGGGCGCCAGAGGCCGCCGCGGAGGATCGGTGCGATCGAAGTAGGTGCAGAAATAATGGGTACAAAGATCAGCAGCAGTTCTTGTCCATTTGGAGAGGATTCGCGGTCGGTGTCGCCGCGGACGTCGTCCACTGAAGACGAAAGGTCGCCTGCCCAACAGCGGCCGCTGTCGATCTTGCACAACAGTTGCTGTTGGGCATCGTGCCCGCCGACTGTCTCCGTACCCATCTCGGTAGTGCCAAGAGGATCCGAAGATCTCTGGGGGCCTCCTGCAGAGTGGGGCCGCTCAGGCTGGCTCGCGCTCAGGGGCCAAGCTGGTCAGCTGCGAAGACGCAGAGGGGACGCGCTTGACCTGCCTCGGGGGCGGCCTCCAGCAGCTGCCTTCGGCCCGCGTCGACTGCGCGCCCCTCCTCGCACAGCCCCGCGATCTCGATGCGCGCATCCAGGTGCTCGTCCTGGTAGATCCGCGATCTCGTCGTCGAACTCGTCGTCGCTGTCGCCGAAGGTCGCAGCGCTCCCGCCGTCGCTGGCGCTGCTATCGCCGACGGGGGGGCTGCCTTGCCTGGAGTCCCGTCCTCCTCCGCCTCCTCGAGGGTGTCCTCGCGCTCGTCGTAGCGCTCGGGTTCGTCGGAGTGCACGGTCACGCATGACCGCGTCCTTGTCATACGGCATTGCACTGTTTTCGTCGTAACGCATGGCCACGATCTCGTGGTAGCGTACGGTGATGCTCTCCTCGGCGATGCCGTCGCTCCCCGTTTCCTCCTGCTCCTATTTCAAGTCCACCGCGACACCGTTGTGGCGCTCGCAGCCGCCGTTGAGGGCCCTGAATAGTCATGGTCGTAGGCCTCTGCATCCTCAGGCATGGATGGGGCTGCTGCCGCTATTCTTGCCAACGGGAGTGGGGCCCCGCTGGCCATCATCACCATCCTGAGTACCTCGCTGGACCCCTCGCTCCAGTATCAGGCCCATGCGGTCGAAGGCGATGACGGCAGCATGCGCCGCCTCCACGGCCGCAGCTGCGGCCGCCGCAGCGGCTTCCCGATCCTGGCGTGCGAGGCGCTTCCTGGCCATCCTGCCGGGCGCCTTCGCGCAGCGCTCCGCCCTGTCGCAGCGTCACGCCGTGCAGCTCCGGCCTCGGCCCCGAGCTCATCCTCGCGTTTCTCGTACAGTTGGCATGCCACAGCCAGGACGACGGGGGCCTCCTCCCCGCTTCGTTGTGGGCACCGTCCTCAGCCTTGCCGCTCCAGAAGTGGTGGGTCACGCCGTCGCGAGACCACGTGGACGCGGAGGCTGCAGCGGCCGTCCGTAGCCATCCGCTGGGCCAACTGGACCCTCTCAGCGACCGACGGGGAGGGGCTCAGCAGCGCGTCCAGTGGAAGAGATTCTGGCTTGTCGAAGGCGTCAGGCACCTCGATTCCGAGGCCCGGAGCTTGGACTGCTGGAGGGGCGGCACGATGTCTGGCGTGTCTACCCGCCTCGCAGAAGACGAGGCTCCGATTGTGGGGGCTTGCGCAGCCGCGGCTCCAAAGCCACCCGTGCAGCTGACGGCGGGCTGCGGCAGCTGCAGCGCAGCCCGCCACGGTGTCCGAGTCCACGGCCGCGTCCGCCTGCGCCATCAGCCGGGCCCCCAGCTCGGCGACGTGCCGCGCAGCCGCAGCCGCAGCTGTGCTGCACAGCCTCGCCCCGCAGGTCCTCCGCGTGCTTCTCCTGGCCAGACTGCAAGCGTGGGCCGCGCTGCGCGCGCCGCCGCGCCCAGTCATGGGCGAGGGTTCGGACATGCGGCGGGCTGCGCCGCAGGTCCCGACGGCCCGACGGGAGCCCGCGCTCCAGCTTGGCGGCATTGAGGGGCGCCGCCAGTGCCAGGCGCCTCTGCACCTTCGGCGAGACGCTCGCTTTGGTACCCGCTCGTAGCTCGTTGATCGGGGGCGGACAGAACCCCCACCCTGACACGTCGATCAGTGAATTGTCCGTTTTTGGTCCTCGGGAGGGCGCCGCGGCCGTCGCTTTCCAGGCTTGCGTCTGCCTGCTTGGGGCCCGAGGTCGTTTTCACTAGACTACGTTTTGCTAAAGGGGGTTCTATCCATCCCCGAGTAGAGCTCGGCGTGACGGCGCCTCGCCAGCCTGTCGCAGCTCGGTGCAGCCCGGCGCGCTGAGCAGCGCGCCGGGCTACGGCGCCGCGCCGCGGCCTGTCCCCACTGGGGGCGCGCCCCCCCGCGTGCCGTGTCCTCGAAGCCGTAGGGCTTGTCCCTCTACAGGAGGGATAAAATTTGAAAATCGTCAAAAAATAGTGTGGGGACGATTTTCTGACTGTCTTTGAGCATTTCTGCATATTTTTGGGGTATCTTTTATTTTTCGTCCAAAATCTGCCTGCAGGGGGACATGCCCGACCTGATCGAAGCCCTCCGCCGCCTTCGCAAGCGCCGCGATGGGGAGAGCTCGCAGGCCCGCCCCCGGCGCCCGAGGCAGGCCTGAGTCACAACGTGCCTGCGGGTCCTCCTGGCCCCCCTCCCGCTCTCCTTGGAGGTGAGGACAAGCCGCCCCGGCCCACACCAGCGGCGTTTTCTAAGCGGCTCTGGGCGTTTTCTGAGCAGCCCTGCCCTGCCCGGCCCTGTCCGATCTCGCTTGTCCCCAGGTGCGCTTGCTACAAGCCTTCCTCCTGCTGGGGTGCAGACCGTGAGAAGGGTCCCTCTGCCCCCCCTCCCGCTCCAGAGTCCGCTGCCCCGCCTCCCCGCTGCCGTCGCTGGCCGCCCCGATCTTGGCCAGGCCATCCCTGGGCGCCCAGGGTCGGTGCACGGTGCCCCCCCCGGGCCAGGCTTAAGTCGGGCCTACAGGAGGAACATTCGGAAGTAGCCCCAGACAAGTCTGGGGACAATTTTTCGACTATTCTTGACTAGCTTTGAGCATTTTTTGACTTCCTATTTTTCGTCCAAAATCCGCCTGTTGGGGGACATGCCCGACCTCAGGCCAGGCCCCCAGGGGCGCGTGCCGCTCCCGGGCCCGGGAGAGGCCCGGCCAGCATCGGCGCAGATGTGCCCCGCTCGCCCCCCCCCGCGGGCGCGCAGACAGTGGCGCCTCGCGCGAGGTCGCGAAGATCGTCGCGCGTCGCGCATCGCGCCGAGTCAGTATCGTTTAACCGATCCCTATCCCCAACCCCATCCACATCTCGAGCCCCACCGTTTCAACACCTCAGTTGGGAATGTGCCCCTCGAAACCCGAAGAGAGCAGCCCAAGTCGCCATCAGGGGGGTCAATCGGCCAGTAGGGCCCAGCCCAGGCTGGTGGGGATGGAGATCGGTTAAACGATGCTCAGCGAGGGCGCGAAGTGTGGCGACCTGGTGCACATCCGCGGGCGACTTGTGTGCACCGTGCCTGTGTTGGCGCCTTCCCCGCACCGCGCTGGAGCGGGGCCCGAAGCAGGTCCGAGCAGGGTACGGAGCATGGGTGCCGTCCTCGCAGCACAGCCTCTCCCCGTCCCCTAGGACTAGGACTAGGACTAGGACTAGGTCCGAACATGTTCGGACGGGGCTAGGACGAGGACAAATTCGTTCCAGAGCGCTCTGGGACGCTCTCAAATCCGTTCCAGAGCGTTCCAGGACGCCCTCGGAACGTTCTGAGAAGGCCGCGGCGCCTGGTACATCCCCTTGATCCGCTAGACCTGAGAGATTCTCGATCTATCCGTACCCGATTTTATCTTCGTCCTAGCTTCGTCTTATTTGTCTCGGCCTCCAAAGGGCTCCTCGCTCTTCGCCTCCAGTGCCCCCGCTCTCGGCGCGTTTTCAGGCGACATCCTCCCGCCGTCGACGGCGATGCTCTTCGAAGCCGCCGCAGAGACGCTCCGCGGTGCGGGGCCGCTGGGGAAGGGGGGGGAGGGAGAGATTGAGGAGAGGGAGGAGGGAGGGAGGGAGTGAGGTGGGGGAGGGAGGGAGGGAGGGAGGGAGGGGGGGGGGAGGGGGAGGGGGCGGGGGGTGGGAGGGGGGGGGGGGGAGGGAGGGAGGGGCGGTGGGGGACCGCTGGGAGGGGAGGGGGGACCCAAGAGGCCTCTTTCGGGCCTCTTGGGGGCCTTCTGGGGCCTCCTGGGGGCTTCTTGGGGCCGTGTGGGCCCCCCTGCCCCCGAGCACTGAATACGTCTGGAATGGCGTCCCCCCCCCCGCCTTCCAGAGCCTCCTGGGGGCTTCTTGGGGGCCTGTGGGCCCCCCCGCCCCCGAGCACTAAATGCGTCAGGAATGGCGCCCCTCCCCCTGCAGAGCGAAGCTTGAGCGAGCTCAAGTCCACGCTCTCAGAAACTTTCACGCCGGATAGAGAGAGAGAGAGAGAGAGAGACAGGGGGTGGGGGAAGCGGCGATTGGGGAAGAACGGGGCGGATGTGAGTGAAGGCTGACGGGGCGAGGATGCGATGAGGGGGGGATTGAGAATGGGTGGGGGGTGGGAAGGGATGGAGGAATGGGGGAAGGGTAATTACGGGGAGAGGGGGGCAAAAGGGGGGGTAGAGGAGGGTCTGCGAGGGAATAGGGGGAGCGCAGGGGTTGACGCGGAGGGCGGGCGGACGGAGTGTGAGGGGAGGGATGAGGGCGTATCTTGGTTGCCTTTGGGGTTTGTGGAGATCACCGTGCTGCGGGCGTCGGGACCTTCGGGCAAGAGTCGCGGCTTTCGGGCAAGAGAGATGTCTCTCTCTCTCTCTCTCTCCAGGGTGACCGCGCGAGGGCACGATCATGATTATGCGCCGCGCGGCGCTAGGTGTCCTAAGTGGATGGGCGGGCTGATGGGGACGTGGGTGCATGAGGATCTTGGGAGATATGAGACTCCTTCTCGAGGAAGCGCCAACATGAAAGAGGGCGCGTGGATTGGCGACGGGCCCAGTTTCGATGCGGAATCGACGCGCTCCATCTCCCATCCAGGCGGTACTGGCGGTGCCTGATCGACGGATCTCTAGTCCGTGTTAGCATGTGCCCGACCCTCGCGTTTCGGGTGGCATCGTGCTCCCCCTGACCCACCCTTCGAGATTTCGCCCGGTCCTGCCGGCGAACGACATCGAATCAGACGCGAGGGTGCAGGTCGGCCCCGCGCTGTCTTTGGGCGTGTGGCCGAGCTGGGGTTCCGCGGTATGGATTCTCGCTCTCTGTTTGGTCGTTGCGGGGCGACCCGCCCGCGAGCCGCCCCGCGCCCCGCCCCGCGACGAGCCCCCCGCGACCCGCCAGGGGACCTGCCAGCGACCCGCTTGGTGCCCGTCGAAGCCCCTGCGGGGGTCAGCGTATACATCGTGGCCGTTTTTCCAGGAGGAAGACGATGAGGAACAGGACGAGGGGAGGGGGAGTAGGACAAGCTAGGTGCGCTCGCATCGTATCCGACGTCCTACCCCTCCCTCCCATTCCCTGCCATGGCGTAGATCTCCTCTCTATTCGCACAGCCCGATGTCGTAGCAGGGCGTAGAACTACATGGCATAGCCCGAAAATGAAGCCAGCGTTTCAGCGAGATCAGCATTTTGACAAAAATGAAAGCGAAAACCCGTTTACCAGGAATCGTGTGTGTAAATACTAGTACGCGGAGGGGGGGCGAATGTGTCCTGGACGTCATCAGGGGAGAGAGGAGAGTAGCATTCATATCGTGTAGTTGTGGAAGATGAGGATGATGAGGAGGAGGAAGAGGAGGAGGATGAGGAGGAGGATGAGGAGGAGGATGAGGAGGAGGTGGAGGGGGATGATGATGATGAGGAGAAAGAACATAAGGAAATTGAGGGGATGCGGATTGTGATGGTGATAGTGGTGATGCTGACGATGGTGGTGATTGTGATGGTGGTGATGACGCTGATACTGCTTATGCTGATGATGCTGCTGCTGATGATGCTGCTGATGATGCTGATTATGATGATGCTGCTGATGATGATGGCGATGATGATGATGATCTGATGATGAAGAAGAGGATGATGATGCTGATGTTGGTGATGGTGGTGATGATGATGATGATGATGATGATGATGATGCTGGTGATGATGAGGAGGAGGAGGATGAGGATGAGATGGGGGAGGAGGAGGAGGAGAAGGAGAAGGCGAAGGAGGTGGAGCATGACACTGATGATGCTGATGATGATGCTGATGATGATGCTGCTTCTGCTGATGATGATGATGAGGAGGAGGAGGAGGAGGAGAGG